AATTTTTCGTTTGGGCTATTTCGATGTCACGATTTCTCGAATTTTTCATGTTTCAATTTTTCGATGTTTAAATTTTTCAATTATTCCATTATTAAATTTCTCTGTATTTCGATTTTTGAGATTATAGATTTTCGTATATTCTAATTTTTGGACAATCCGATTTTTTAATTTTTCGACATTTCAATTTTTGTGATTTTTCCATTTATTTATTTTTCAAAAATTGAAGTTTGAATAAATTGTCGAAAATCCCTCAAAGTTTCGGTTTTTTGATTTCTCGTTGGTTTGAATTTTTCCATTTTCCGATTTTTCAGTTCTTCGATTTCTTAAATGCACATTTTCCAATTTTTTCATTTTAAAATTTGTTGATCTTTCGATTTCTCAGTTTTTCAAGTTTTTGGATTTCTCAGTTGTTTAATATTTCAGTTATTGAAAAAGTTTCAACTTCTGGATTGTCCAATTTTTTGATTTCTTAAATGCATTTTTTGGGTTTTTTTAACATTTTCGATTTAACCTTTTTTTTTGGTGGTGTTTCTATATGTAGATTTTTGTATATTCCAATTTTTGGACAATCAAATTTTTCAATTTTTCGACATATTCATTTTTGGAATTTTTCTGTTTATCTATTTTTCAAAAATCGAAGTTTGAAGAATCGAAAATACTTCAATTTTTTGGTTTTTTAATTTTAATTTTTTTCAATTTTAGATTTTGCGATTTCATGATTTTAATTTTTTTTATTTTTCGATTTTCCGATTTTTCAGTTTTTCGATTTCTTAAATGCACGTTTTCCAATTTTTTGATTTTAGAATTTGTTGATTTTGCGATTTCTCAGTTTTTCAAGTTTTTGGATCTCTTAATTTTTTAATATCTCAGTTATTGAAAAAGTTTCGAATTCTGGATTGTCCAATTTTTAGATTTCTAAAATGCTTTTCGAATTTTTAACACATATTTCGATTTCTCAATTTACAGAGATTTCCGTGTTTCGATTTTTCGGTTGTGCAATTTCCCCATTTTTCAGTTTTTTCTTCTCTTCGATTTAACTTTTTTTATGTAGTTTTAAGTTTCTCAGTTATTTTTCGTTTGGGCTTTTCCAATTTCTCGATTTTTGAGATTACAGATTTTTGTATATTCTAATTTTTGGACAATCCGATTTTTCAATTTTTCGACATTTCAATTTTTGTGATTTTTCTATTTATTTATTTTTCAAAAAGTGAAATTTGAAGAAATTGTCTAAAATCCTTCAATTTTTCGGTTTTTTGATTTCTCGTTGGTTTTAATTTTTCCGTTTTCTGATTTTTCAGTTCTTCGATTTCTTAAATGCACATTTTCCAATTTTTTCATTTTAAAATTTGTTGATCTTTCGATATCTCAGTTTTTGGATTGTCCAAATTTTCGATTTCAAAAATGTTTTTCGAATTTTTCACACATATTTCGTTTTCTCGATTTACAGAGATTTGCGTGTTTCGATTTTTCGGTTGTCCAATTTCCGCATTTTTCAGTTTTTCAGTTTTTTCTTCTTTTCGATTTAACTTTTTTTTATGTAGTTTTAAGTTTCTCAGTTGTTTTTTGTTTAGGCTTTTCCGATTTCTCGATTTCTCGAACTTTTCATGTTTCGATTTTTGGATGTTTAAATTTTTCAATTATTCCATTAATAGATTTCTCTGTATTTCGATTTTTGAGATTATAGATTTTTGTATATTCTAATTTTTGGCCAATCCGATTTTTCAATTTTTCGACATTTCAATTTTTGTGATTTTTCTATTTATTTATTTTTCAAAAATTGAAGTTTGAATAAATTGTCGAAAATCCTTCAATTTTTCGGTTTTTTGATTTCTCGTTGGTTTGAATTTTTCCGTTTTCCGATTTTTTAGTTCTTCGATTTCTTAAATGCACATTTTCCAATTTTTTCATTTCAAAATTTGTTGATCTTTCGATTTATCAGTTTTTCAAGTTGTTGGATTTCTCAATTTTTTAATATTTCAGTTATTGAAAAAGTTTCAACTTCTGGATTGTCCAATTTTTCGATTTCTAAAATGCTTTTCGAATTTTTAACACATATTTCGTTTTCTTGATTTACAGAGATTTCCGTGTTTCGATTTTTCGGTTGTCCAATTTCCCCGTTTTTCAGTTTTTCAGTTCTTTTCTTCTCTTCGATTTAACTTTTTTTTTGTAGTTTTAAGTTTCTCAGTTATTTTTCGTTTAGGCTTTTCCGATTTCTCGATTTCTCGAACTTTTCATGTTTCGATTTTTGGATGTTTAAATTTTTCAATTATTCCATTAATAGATTTCTCTGTATTTCGATTTTTGAGATTATAGATTTTTGTATATTCTAATTTTTGGACAATCCGATTTTTCAATTTTTCGACATTTCAATTTCTGTGATTTTTCTATTTATTTATTTTTCAAAAATTGAAGTTTGAATAAATTGTCGAAAATCCTTCAATTTTTCGGTTTTTTGATTTCTCGTTGGTTTGAATTTTTCCGTTTTCCGATTTTTCAGTTCTTCGATTTCTTAAATGCACATTTTCCAATTTTTTCATTTTAAAATTTGTTGATCTTTCGATTTCTCAGTTGTTCAAGTTTTTGGATTTCTCAATTTTTTTATATTTCAGTTATTGAAAAAGTTTCAACTTCTGGATTGTCCAATTTTTCGATTTCTAAAATGCGTTTCGAATTTTTAACACATTTCGTTTTCCCGATGTTTCAGTTTTTCGATTTCTCGATTTACAGAGATTTCCGTGTTTCGATTTTTCGGTTGTCGCATTTCCCCATTTTTCAGTTTTTCAGTTCTTTTCTTCTCTTCGATTTAACTTTTTTTTGTAGTTTTAAGTTTCTCAGTTATTTTTCGTTTAGGCTTTTCCGATTTTTCGATTTCTCGAACTTTTCATGTTTCGATTTTTGGATGTTTAAATTTTTCAATTATTCCATTAATAGATTTCTCTGTATTTCGATTTTTGAGATTATAGATTTTTGTATATTCTAATTTTTGGACAATCCGATTTTTCAATTTTTCGACATTTCAATTTTTGTGATTTTTCTATTTATTTATTTTTCAAAAATTGAAGTTTGAATAAATTGTCGAAAATCCTTCAATTTTTCGGTTTTTTGATTTCTCGTTGGTTTGAATTTTTCCGTTTTCCGATTTTTTAGTTCTTCGATTTCTTAAATGCACATTTTCCAATTTTTTCATTTTAAAATTTGTTGATCTTTCGAAATCTCAGTTTTTCAAGTTTTTAGATTTCTCAATTTTTTCATATTTCAGTTATTGAAAAAGTTTCAACTTTTGGATTGTCCAATTTTTCGATTTCTAAAATGTTTTTCGAATTTTTAACACATATTTCGTTTTCTCGATTCTTCAGTTTTTCGATTTCTCGATTCACAGAGATTTCCGTGTTTCGATTTTTCGGTTGTCCAATTTCCCCTTTTTTCAGTTTTTCAGTTCTTTTCTTCTCTTCGATTTAACTTTTTTTATGTAGTTTTAAGTTTCTCAGTTGTTTTTCGTTTGGGCTTTTCCGATTTCTCGATTTTTCGAACTTCTCATGATTCGATTTTTCGATGTTTAAATTTTTCAATTCTTCCATTAATAGATTTGTCTGTATTTCGATTTTTGAGATTATTGATTTTTGTATATTCTAATTCTTGGACAATCCGATTTTTCAATTTTTCGACATTTCAATTTCTGTGATTTTTCTGTTTATTTATTTTTCAAAAATTGAAGTTTGAAAAAATTGTCGAAAATCCTTCAATTTTGTGGTTTTTCAATTTTGATTTTTTTAAATCTAGATTTTTCGGTTTCTTGATTTGTCGTTGGTTTGAATTTTTCGGTTTTTCGATTTCTCAGTTTTTTGATTTCTTAAATGTACATTTTTTAATTTTTCAGTTTTTTTGATTTCTCAATTTTTCGTTTTTAATTTTTGTTAGCATTTGACCATCTCTAATAAAAATCCGGGACAGTAGACAGACGGATAGACGCACAGACGGACAGACGGACAGACGGACAGACGGACAGACGGACAGACGGACAGACGGACAGACGGAAACGGGAGACCAACCACAAGCGGAAAGTCGTCCGATGGACTCGATTAGCTTATGCTCAGTAAGTAATAACTCAGGAGTCTTTTAATGTACGAAAGGCATATTCTGTGAACTATAATTTAATTTAAATAGTCTGTAGCCGTTTGTTTTCTTTTCTGTAATATTTCATTGTGGTTTATTTAAGGTTGTGGGCTTATCGACCGCACACAGCACAAAAACTGCGTAACTATTTCCTTTAATCCTTTTCAATATTTCAACACCTGGGGTCTTTTGTTCGGTAAATAAAGAGCCGCGAAACGAAATTGGAAAAGCAACTGAGTTCATTAGTTTGTCAGAAATTTTACAGGTTTTTAACAAATACGCACAAATGCTATAATTTATACTTTAAGGTTGTATTAAATCGAATCCCAGTCTGAAGTTCTTGCTTTTAAAATTATGTCATATTTTATAATTAGACTCCAATTTGCTGTACTCAATAATAAACGTTCAGATTCAAAGCTCCGAATTTAATACCAAAACTGGATTATTCAAGTCTGCGTATAAATTTGCAATAAATCGAATTTCAGATACTTACGAGATTTGAACGTCGAAAATATTTAGTTTTTCATAATTTCGTTCAAATTTTGTTCTTGCTCAGTTTTATTAAATCACAAAAAAAATTTAAATAAATTTCAAGTTTTCATTCTTACAACTTATGGCATGAAATCACACCACGTCGAAAAATTTCACCTTCGTGTATTGCAGCCACAAACCCATCACATTTGATCTTTATTCCTGTCGAAAAAAACCCATCAGAAACAACTCCCATCATCCAGCAAAATAAAAATCCCACTTCGCCTGACAAATCTTCATAAACCCAACTCCGTCAGTAAAAACGTATTCGCACATCCTGGCGGTTCCACACGAAAAAAGCCCACACGTTCCGTGTCTATTTTCGTTCCAAAACTAGACCATCAAGATAAACTCACTCCTGCTCCAGCGCGTCGGCGATCCTCTGCTTCTCCACCAGCTTGTAGTAGATCTTCGTCTGCCACTCGTCGTCGCTCGGGAGCACGAAGTCGTAGGGCTCTTCGTCGCGGAACATCCCGCCGCCCTCCACGTCCAACATCTTCCGCATCAGCTGCGGCAGGATCGCGAATATGTTGCCATCTCCGAGGGAACTGAGGTTGACCCACAGCTGATGCTCGCTTTCCTGTGCGTCGCCCATCCTGGTGCGATGTACAGCTGGCCCGGAAGAAAAAACATGCGATTAGGCCGTAAATAAAAAATAACTAATGAGTATTGATCACGGCATGCATTGCGATGGGGGCGGGAGGCCGGGGGCGGCCTTGGCTAAACGAGCTTTGAACGCATAAAAATTCGACCTAAAAAATACCAGATCACCGATCTCGTCTCCAAAGATAAAATAGGAATTTTCTGTACGCGCATTTTTTTGTGTGAGTTTTTTTTGTGTCCTGTGCGACTTTGCGACCAGCTGTGTGTGTTCAAATTTCGGCTTATTTATGGTTCGTTCGACTTCATCCGTTTTATGGTAGATAAGAATTCAACGAAACTAATTTAATGTCGTACGGGTTGACATAAATGTCGTGTATCGGTGAATATATAATTTGGCATCGATTTCCATTCAGAATTCATAATTTCGTTTTTAATAAAAGAATTTTATGATTTGGATGCGAGCCTAATTTTGGCTCGGCACGAAAACTGCCTCGGAGAGTTTCATTTTTATTATTAATTGTATGGTTGTCAAAAAAATTACTACGTCTGGTTAAAAATGGCTGCATTTAAATGAAGTATGAAGAAGCGTGTCTTTTTTAGAGGGAAATTAAAAATATTGGATAAAATAGCGAAACTAGGAAAAGTTGAACAGGTTTTAAATGAATTTGCTCGATGGAAATTTCTTCAATTTTTCAAAATTTCAATGTTTTTGTTTTCAATGTGTCGATTTTTCGAATTCTCGATTTTTCAATAGTTGGATTTTTCAATTTCTCGATTTTCAATTTTTTGATTCATCATTTTAATTTTTCGAATTTTTATATTTTCGACTTTCGATTTTTCGATTTAACATTTTTTTCAGTTTTATCTTTGTCAATTATTAGTTTCTAGTTTTGGCTATTTCGATTTCTCTATTTCTCGATCTTTTCATCTTTCCATTCCTCGATGTTTTTTCATTTTATGATTTTCTGATGTTTTGATTTCTCGGTTTTTCAAGTTTTTGGATTTATCAGTTTTTCAATATTTTAGTTTTTGAGAAATTTTCAATTTCTAGATTTTCCAATTTTCCGATTTCTAAAGTTTTTGACCTTCCGAATTTTTAAAATTTCGATTTTTCGATTTTTGAATTTTTCTATTTAACATTTTTTTAGTTTCATGTTTTTCAATTATCAATTTTTCGTTTAGGCTGTTTCGATTTCTCGATGTTTCAATTTTTCAATTATTCAATTTTTCGATTTCTCTGTTTCGATCTTTGGGATTTTTGTATATTCCAATTTTTGGACAATCAGATTTTCCAATTTTTCGACATTTCAATTTTTGGGATTTTTCTATTTATTTATTTTTCAACAATTGAAGCTTGAAGAATCCAAAATCCTTCAATTTTTCGCTTTTTCAATTTCAATTTTTTTAAATTTAAAATTTTTCGATTTCTTAATTTCTCGTTTTTTTTTAATTTTTCGATTTCCTGGTTTTTGGGTTTCTCAATATTTCAGTTTTTGTGAATTTTTCAATTTCTTGATTTTCCAGTTTTTCGATTTCTAAAATTTTTGACCTTTCGAATTTTTGATATTTTGATTTCACGATTTTTCAATTTTACGATTTCCCGATTTATAGGGATTTCTCGATGTTAATTTTTCGATTTTTCTGTGTTTCGATATTTGGGCTTTCCGATTTATCGATTTTTGTATGTATATTCTAATTTTTGGCCAAGCCGATTTTTCAATTTTTTGACATTTTTTGATTTTCTTAATTTTTTTAAATTACCTACTTTTAAAAAATTGAAATTTGAAAAAAAATCCTTCAATTTTTCGGATTTTCAATTTAGATTTTTTAAATTTTAAATTTTTTGATTTCTTGATTTCTTGTTTTGTTTTTAATTTTTTGGTTTTCTGATTTTTCAGTTTTTCCATTTCTTATTAAATGCATATTTTTCAATTTTTCATATTTTTTTATTTTACGATTTTTTGATGTTTCGGTTTCTCATTTTTTCAAGTTTTCGATTTCTCAATTTGTTAATATTTCAGTTTTGGAAATTTTTCAATTGCTAGATTTTCCAACTTTTAAATATAAAAAATTTTTGACCTTTCAAATTTTTGATATTTCGATTTCTCAATTTTTCAATTTTTCGATTACTCGATTTATAAAGATTTCGATGGTTGGATGTTTCGGTTGTTTATATGTATTCTAATTTGTGGACAATCGAATTTTTCAATTTTTCGCCATTTTAATTTTCGAGATTTTTCTATTTATCTATTTTTCAAAACTCGAAGTTTGAAGAATCGAAAATCCTACAATTTTTCAGTTTTTCAATTTCTATTTTTTAAAATTTCGGATTTTTCGATTTCTAGATTTCCGGTTTTCTTGAATTTTTCGGTTTTCCGATTTTTCAATTTTACAAATTTTTTGATTTTACGATTTTTTGATGTTTCGATGTCTCGGTTTTTCAAGTTTTTGAATGTATCAATTTTTAAATATTTCAGTTTTTTGGAATTTGCGATTTTTAGATTTTCCAATTTTTCGATTTTTAAAATTTTTGACTTTTTGATATTTCGATTTCTCGATTTTTCAGTTTTTTAGTTTTAAGTTTTTCAGTTATTAATTTTTAGATTGGGCTATTTTGATTTATCGATTTCTGGATCTTTTCATGTTTCGATTTCTCGATGTATTTTGCAACTACATATTCAATTTTTCGATTTCTTGGTGTTTCGATTTTTGGGCTTTTCGATTTATGCATTTTTGTAAACTTATTCCAATTTTTGCACTATGGATGGTTTTGTTCGACATTGCAATTTTTGGAATTTTTCTATTTATGTATTTTTCAAAAATCGAAGGTTGAAGAATCCAAAATTTAAAATTTTTGATTTTTCGCTTTCTCTTTTTTTTTAGTTTTTCGGTTTTACGATAATGTTTGGATTTCTCGGTTTTTCAAGTTTTCGATTTCTCAATTTTTCAACATTTTAGTTTTTGGTAATTTTTCAATTTTTAGATTTTCCAATTTTTCAGTTTTTCGATATCTGGAATTATACAAAGTTTCATGTTTTGATTTTTCGGTTGTTCAATTTCCCAATTTTTTAGTTTTTCAATTTTTCGATTTGACAATTCTTTTTTAGTTTTATGTTATTCAATTATTAATTTTTGGTTTAGGGTATTTCGATTTCTTGATTTCTCGATATTGTTGTTTCAATTTCTGGATATTTCAATTTTTCAATTCTTTGGTGTTCGGAATTTTGGGCTTTTTGATTTATAAATTTTTGTATATGTATTCTAATTTTTGGAGAATCCGATTTTTCAATTTTTCGACATTTCAATATTTGGGATTTTTCTATTTATCTATTTTTCAAAAATCCAAGCTTGAAGAATCGAACATTCATCAATTGATTTCCCGTTTTTTTATTTTTCGGTTTTCCGATTTTGGAATTTTTTTATTTCTTAAATGCATTTTTTCGGTTTTTAAGTTTTTCGATTTAACCTTTTTTTTGGTGCTGTTTCGATTTTTGGGCTTTTCTATATGTGGATTTTTGTATATTCCAATTTTTGGACAATCAAAATTTTTAATTTTTCGATATATTCATTTTTGGAATTTTTCTATTTATCTATTTTTCAAAAATCGAACTTTGAAGAATCGAAAATCCTTCAATTTTTTGGTTTTTTAATTTTGATTTTTTTCAATTTTAGATTTTTCGATTTCATGATATCTTATTTTTTTTTATTTTTCGATTTTCCGATTTTTCAGTTTTTCGATTTCTTAAATGCACATTTTCCAATTTTTTCATTTTAAAATTTGTTGATTTTTCGATTTCTCAGTTTTTCAAGTTTTTGGATTTCTCAATTTTTTAATATTTCAGTTATTGAAAAAATTTCAACTTCTGGATTTTCCAATTTTTCGATTTCTAAAATGCTTTTCGAATTTTTGACACATATTTCGTTTTCTCGATTTTTCAGTTTTTCGATTTCTCGATTTACAGAAATTTCCGTGTTTCGATTTTTCGGTTGTCCAATTTCCCCATTTTTCAGTTTTTCAGTTCTTTTCTTCTCTTCGATTTAACTTTTTTTGTATGTAGTTTTAAGTTTCTCAGTTATTTTTCGTTTGGGCTTTTCCGATTTTTCGATTTCTCGAACTTTTCATGTTTCGATTTTTCGATGTTTAAATTTTTCAATTATTCCGTTACTAGATTTCTCTGTATTTCGATTTTTGAGATTATACTTAGATTTTTTTATATTCTAATTTTTGGACAATCCGAGTTTTTTTGACATTTTTTGATTTTCTGAATTTCTTTAAATTACCTACTTTTAAAAAATTGAAATTTGAAAAATAGAAAATCCTTCAATTTTTCGGAATTTCAATTTCGATTTTTTTAATTTTAGATTTTTTGATATCTTGATTTCTTGTTTTGTTTTTAATTTTTTGGTTTTCTAATTGTTCAGTTTTTCCATTTTTCAAATGCATATTTTTCATGTTTTTTTATTTTACGATTTTTTGATGTTTCGGTTTCTCATTTTTTCAAGTTTTCGATTTCTCAATTTTGTTAATATTTCAGTGTTGGGAATTTTTCAATTGCTAGATTTTCCAACTTTTCAATTTTTAAAATTTTTTATCTTTCAAATTTTTGATATTTCGATTTCTTGATTTAACATTTTTTTTAGTTTCAGGTTTTTCAGTTATTAATTTTTTGTTTGAGGTGTTTCGATTACTCGATTTCTCGACCTTTTCATGTTTCCATTTCTCGATGTTTCAATTTTTCACTAATTCACTTTTTCGATTTTTCTGTGTTTCGATTTTTGGGCTTTTCTATTTATAGATTTTTGCAAATTCCAATTTTTGGACAATCAAATTTTTTAATTTTTCGATATATTCATTTTTGGAATTTTTCTATTTATCTATTTTTCAAAAATCGAAGTTTGAAGAATCGAAAATCCTTCAATTTTTTGGTTTTTTAATTTTGATTTTTTTCAATTTTAGATTTTTCGATTTCATGATTTCTTATTTTTTTTATT